ATGCATCCCAAGTGAATAAAGTGACTAACACTGTCAAAAGTTACATGTGACAAATTCGCACAAGAGCACATGGGTGTGTGAACTCCCTGTTAGAATTTTTTGATTTTTCTTTTTAATAAAAAAACATGCAGTCAGATTCTCTCATTCTACTCTATTACTCTTTTATGCTATTTAAAATTTTTAAAATCAATTATAATTACTTCTTCATCACCAAATCAACAAATGAAACACAATATAAAATAATAGCATGAATCAGCTTTACAATGATTTTAGGTCCATTCACATTGTGAGTCATCCAACCCAAGTCCATTGGCTAGCCCAAACCTACCAACATTATTATGAGTTTACACAACATAAAAGAATAGCATGAAATAGCTTGACAATGATTTTAGGTCCATTGACATTGAGTCATCCAACTCAAGTCAACTGGCTAGCTCAAGCCTATCAACAGTACTATGAGTTTACATGTGCATTATTAAAATACTTCTCTTTCAAACTATACATACCAACTAAAGAGGGAAAAAAAGAATAAATCTCTTTTAATTTGAAGAAATTATTAGTTGGTTTTTGATCTATTTTATATTTGGTGGATTAATATAATGAGGGTTAATATTGAGATTTTTTTGTAATATATTAATATATTTTTATGAGACTATTTTTTCAAATCGAGAATCTAAATTTAACTGATCAACCAAATGTCAACCGTGCAAAACCAACTAGTAATTTCTGATTTAATTTGCTACTTAGTGGGCTTTATCTGTCATCTATTTATTGAAAATACATTTTGAACGTGCCTGTGGATTATGGCAATCCTATTTGTTACATATTGTGATTGGTTAGAGCGAGTGCCCATTGACACTTCTATCGAGAGATTAGTCTTATCCAACCATCTTGGATAGAATTTTACCATTCTTCATTGTCATCTTTATATTTGTTCCAAAAGAATGGAGTCGACTATACTACCAAAAATTATAGACAGCTACGAGTAGGGTTCAAAATCCTGCAAGAACACGTGGACGCATGAGTTTATTGCTAAGAATATATATATATATGTGTTTAAAAAAAATTGTAGTCGGGTTCTCTCAATCTATTCTGTTACCAGTTAATTTTTAAAAATCAATTCTATTTAAAACTACAAATCAAACACAACACAAAAGAATAGCATGAATAATTAATTAACTTGACAACGATTTTAGGGTCCATTCATATTGAGCCATCTAAACCCCAATCAATTGGCTATCTCAAACCTACCAACAGCACTATGAGTTAACATGTGTGCACCATTAAAATAAATCTCTTTCAAATTGGTACATACCAATCAATGAGGCCAAAAAAAGAAATAATTTTCTTCCAATTTGCTACTTAATTGGGCCTAATCTTTCACCTATTAATTGAAAATGCATTTTCAAATGTACACGTGGCTTATGGCAACTATATTTGTACCTAAAAAGACAAATGCAGGTACAACCTACCGTGCTAAAAAAAGAGTTTTTGGAGGCCATTAGTCCCTATAAGTTTTGTTTAATTTAATCATTTTTATTATATATATATACTAATGTTTTAGACTTTGTTAACCTAGAATCTAATGTGTCAATTGAAAAACCATAGTGTAGACAACAATAAAATTTAGGGTTGCACATGGGAAGATTGCCACCAACTCCATGTGCATGGATGACCAACCCCTTCCTAGTTCCTACCGCCTTTTCAATCAATTTTCTAGTATGTGGCCTTTCTTGAGATTCCACGACCCCTACTCTCCAATATGGATTTATTTTATATTTAACTCTATATATATATTATATACACACAAACGGTCATGATCGCGGTATCGATATCAATGACGGTGTAACAGATTCAGACAAAATCAGTGTGAACTGGCCGATACGAATTGCATATCGAATTTAAAAATGGATCGCGTTTCGGCCGATACGTCGCGTATTAAATAATACGGCGATCCATGACACACACACACACTATATACAGAAATAATTTTATAATCATATTCAACTGTCATTATGATTCATGTGAATAATTTTCTTGCATACTAGCGTGCAAAAGATCATTTCTAAATATTATATATATATATATATATATATAGTATCAAGCATAGAAAAGGCCCGTCTTGAAAATGGTATTAATGCGGAAAGAAAATTAAATGGAAGGGAGAGAATAAGAGATTAATGGAACATGTTTAGGAAAGATATTGTGTCTTCCCCTCTTTTTTTTAAGAGAATAAGACAATTCCTTATTTTGTTAGGAGAGAAGAAGAGATTAATGAAACATGGGGTCCTCCCTTCTTTTTGTTAGAGAATAACACAATCCCTTATTTTAATAGAAGAGAAGAAAAGATAAAGCGTTAATTATAAGAAAAGTTTTGTAATTTAAAAACATTTATAATAGCTATGTTTTTCTTCTTTCTTGTCTTCCCTCCATATTTAGAAGGATAAAAATTTATGAAGAAGGAAGGATAACTCATCTATTCTCTTTTCTCTCTCTTTTTATCTCTTTTTTACCAAACGAATGAAGTTTATTTCTTCCTTCCAACTAAACCGAGCATAAAGGTAGATTGTGTACCAAGAATGTCTCTCCCAAGAACTTACAGTGAATAAGTGTTCACTAAATCATACTGGAAAAGCTCTCTCTCTCTATCTCTCTCTTTATATATATATATATGTGTGCGCGCGCGCGCAAACAATTTACAAAAAATATATATTATAATTGATTATATAATTCTATGAAAAATAATTTACAAATTATATTGTTGTTGATGTTGCTTGTTGATTGTAAAACTTGTACGTGTTAGTGAACACTGGTGACCTCTATCTATTAAATTTGGGCAATTGCAAAAAAGCCCCTTGACTTGTAGCCATTTGAATTAAACCCCCCTTTTTTATTTTTGTTTTTTTGGCACAAAACCCCCCTCAAGCCTCGACTGACACAGATTGTAGATTAAACTGCTGCTAGAGAGAGAACGAGAGATCATATAATTTGTTCAACTATAACCATATTAACATTTTTTTCTCGATAAATAAATAAATATATATTAATATTTTTTTTTTTTTTTTTCTTGAATATTTATATTAATATTTGTTTTTGATTAACAATGTGAAACCTGTCATACACATCATTTTTATGATTTTGTAAAAATGTTTACCTGAACATGACGCTACATCAGGCCCTAGATTTATGTACACATAAGGAGCTAGAAGTTATATATTTTTTAGTTAACCCATAACATAAAAGCTTATTTTATGTACCAAGCAGTGAATTACATATATGTGTTTGATACTTATTGATCATTTAATAATGAATTCATTTTTCTTTGCCTCTTTAATAAGAGATTGGTTGTGCTATAATGACCCACAATATAGACATAAATTAATTAATTGATATAGTGACATAAAAGTATATTTGTGTTGAAATTTAAAAAGTATAAGAATTATTTTTTATAAACTAATATGCTAATTCATTGTGACTAGTAGCGCCAATTAGCTATTATTATTAAAAAGGTACGACTATTAATATAGATATATATCATATATATGAGATATTATATGATGTACTATGATATATATGCTGATAGAGAGAGAGAACCTGCGGAAGATGAAGGCTATAAAACAAGAGCACAGTGGATCAATAAATAAGGGGCATTTTTGTCTCAAAATTAGTTGAGCATCCCCATCCATTAGTTGAGGAGGGGTTTTGTGCCAAAAAAATTCAAAAGGGGAGTTTATTGCAAATGGCAACAACTCAAGGGGTGCTTTTTTGCAATTCACCCATGAAATTTAGATCCTTGTCATTGTTGTGTTTGGGATTTCATGTTTCTGTAATGAACATCACAGGCCAGTTTAGTGAATTGCTTTTGAGTTTAGAGCATGATTTATAATGGGACTCTACTTTTTTTGAATAGTCAAAACCTAAACAGACAACTGTAATATCGATTGCGATTGTAGTGTAATGAACTTATAAATATCGGTGTGAATCGGCCGAACAAACTGGTTCATAAAAGTATATAACGATATTGAACCCTTAAAAAAGGATTATGAATACACCGATACGACGAACCATACAACAACGTATGAATATGCGAGTTAAAAAATGAAGGATTGTTTCTTTGTGCAAAACAATATCAAAATTTAACTTTGCATCTATTTATTTATTTATGGTAAAATCCCACTCAAACTATACCTACCCATATTATATAAGCATATTTTTGTGGTTCTCTGTCTTATCATAAATCTATTTCATCACCATTGCCCAGTATTAAAAATATATATGTTAAATATTCAACCTTCAAAAGCAGCTCAACCACTTGGAGAAAACTCTATACTTTTATTTATTTAATTAGTTATTTAAATTTTCATGCATAAGTGTGATTTCATTTTATATTCATTACCAACTCCAGGCCAAAGAGAGAGGCTGCATTGGCTACACAGTTCTCAAAATGTTACAAATTTTTTAAGACAAATCTTAATTTTACATTCTATTTATTGATCTCTTAAATTACCATGTTATTCCACTATGCTTAATTGCTCATGTTTATGTGTAAGCAACCATTTCTTTTCCTTTTCACCTTTTAGGCTCAATTTTATTTACAGATTTATCGAAGAACAAGGACAAAGAGAAAAAACATATCTTCTTCATATTTTATCTTATTTGGAAAAACTTAGAAAATAAAACATTTCTCAAATATAAATGAGAATGAAGAATAAGAAAAGGTAATGGCATATAAGATTTAAAAATGCATATATAGAAACTTAAACCCAAGACCTTCCTGAAACAAAACTCTGATACAAGACTACAAGTTACCAATTACTCCAAAACCTTAAAAAGGTTTCGAGGCAATTGGTCTCAACAATACACACACATATATAGCACCTCTATGTATTATATCAACATTAAGAGTACCACATTCCATTAGTTGGCAGACATTGACTTAACTAAAACAAATGTACTCTTAGCAAGGAGATCAAGGGTAAGAAGATCACATATTTCGCACGAATCGTTTTCAAGCCAAATTGCTACACACTTCCAAGTTTCTCAACTTGTTCACTCAACTCCTTTATGACAGGAGAGATTTTTCTAATCAGAAATCATTAGTAAGTGTTCAATAGTTTATGCGAACCCTATAAGGCCAATATTTCAAATAGAAGAAATGTCATTAACATTGATTTCTACTTCTTACAACTTGTAGAAGCTATAATTCTCAACTATAAATACTTCTTAATTGCATTGTGACTATCCACCAAATGGAGCCTCTATCATAACAAGGGATTAAGTCTTAAAAGAGAATTAATACGGCAGACTCAAATTTCTTCGTCTGAACTAACAAATTCTAATTCAATCATCTTTTCTCTAACCTGCTTGGTTTTCTCTGCTGAAGGTTTCGCCTGCTGCTCAGTTTTTGTTCTTTTTGCATTTGGTTGTTGACTTCTTGCTGCAGATGAATCTAGTTTTGCAGTTGATAACGACCTGAAGAATGATAGACAAATCTCCAGCATATGCACTCATAAAAGGCAATAAAAAAATTGAAAAAGAAAATGAGACCATTTTCATTTACCTCTTCTCCACGCTTTGTGGCTTTGGCATGGCATGAATCTTACTTTTAGTTTTTGAACCCATTATACCTGTAATTATTTCATCGTGAAAACATGTTTGAGAACAGAATTATGTGGATCACATTTTAACAGCATCAGAGATGGGATACGATCTTGAACCTGTGACTTCAGCAAGAAATCTTATTCCTTGGGAGTGTATATTTGTTGTCACTTTGTCAGCATTACTGTCCATTCAAGTACAGTACAAACACCATTAGCAATAATTATAAACCATAGCTCGCACATGTGTGTCTGCATGTGAGAAACAGAGAGAGAAGAGGGGGGCTTGTATTCTATATTGCTGCTCAAAAGTTTCTATTTTTTTTCTTAAAATGAAAAAACTTTGATGAACAAGATTGTTTAAGGCATAGAGAGTCAATCTTTAGCTGTTGGTGGCTTTCATTCTACCAAACATCCAGACACATTTTTTCATGTATTTTAGGCTCACTCGGAAGCCATAATGTGAAACAAAAGAACTTTGTAGTTTGTACTCCATTCAGTTGATAAGAATGAAATATTTAGAATCTTACAACAATCATTATTTTCTGGGCAATCAAATTATTAATAGGAATGTTCGTTAGAATTTCGATCCAGATCCTAGGATCCAAAAATATCAAATCAATTTGAATCACATCAAAAATTCCATGAGGAGAATTATTATGGAATCCCTGTGGGATCCATGGATCCATCGGTTCAAAGTTCACTCTCAATTTTACCAACCCTAATGTTGGCCTCATGTCATTCTTCCAGACCCTTTAGTTAAGGCCCGTGATCCAAATACTATCACTTAAAAGTTCTAAATTAGCCAAAAGTTTCTTCTGATTAATATGCAACAAAATTTGACTTCTCTTTTTAACTAATAAGGATTCTATGTTGTTTGTTTTCCTTGTTTTTCTTTTGTTTCTTCTAGTTGGCTATTCTGCTATGATAAGCAACGAAAAAAGGGAAAAAAGTTTTCCTCATATACACTGCTTCAAGCTAATTGACCCTTCTTTCTCTCTGTAAAACTCCTTTATCTTTTCCCCTATGCCTTAGGCTTTGTAATTAAACCTTTCATGGCTTGAATATTGTCTTACATAATTATATAAAACCATGTTACTTTAATCATTGATGAATGGTGAGTAATGATTTGAATTGTTATTGTAAAACACGTAATATCGTAATGTACCATGATTACCATCACACTTGCTACATAAATTGTACATTTTTTACAATGATAACTTTTATTATTTGAATGAAAGCTAATGTACTTCAAATTATGAGGTGGATTAGTGCAAGCTCATGTTCTCTAAAATATCTTTTAAAATTTTCTGTTCTTTTATGAGTTCTGAACTTGTTCAATTGCATATATAAGAGAATCCTAGAGCAGATATTGTAGGAGATAGTTTTCTCGTCTTAGAAATTTACAAGTATTGATTTGAAGACTCCCTACCAATCCAACAGAAGGTCTAGTTCAACAGCCATGTTTAACAAACTAATTTGAGATTTAAAGGAAGTGAGCATAAGCTAGGATATCTTGGACATACCTTAAAGCCTTTTTTAATCCCTCTACAGACAACAACTTGACTGGCTGCATGGATTTTTTTAAGTTTGTTCTGTCAGCCAGAGGATCAACACAGTAAATCCCTTCTGACTTGAGAGGATCCCTAAAGGCTGTTCTTAAATTTCTGCAATGAAAAGTTCAGTAGGTATTTATTAGAGACATTAAATTACTCAAGAAAAGAGTTCCCTCTCCTGCTCACTTGTACCAAATCAATTCAAACAATATTCACCTACCCTCCTTTGAGTTCAGTTCGGGAAACTGAATATTTCTGGGATGCTTTCTGAAAAAAAGAACAATAATAAAAAGCATTATTGAATCAACATTACTTCAAAACTAATGGTCCAAACAAGATTTGAAGTATTGAAAATTCAACCTTACTGATTTATGGTAGGTGCAATATGTTCCACGGTGTCTGGAAACACAGAATGGCATAAATTATTTACCAGGAAAAGTTTAGAATGCTACAAGATTATTTACCAGGACAATCTAATAATTCTATCGGATTAAGAGAACATATGCAAATTTTTTTTTTTTTCACAAGCAACATATGCAATATTTGTAATGGCATAAAGTATAAACTAGTTTAAACATTCATACAGCCCAAAGATATACGTATTTTTAGCATAAGAAACTTAAGATAGGGATTCAATTTTATTCTTGCTAGTAAGGAAGTACCTGTAAAATTTCATATTGTAAAAGGTGAGAAGTTACATCACAATTCCATGTTATATAACCTATTTCCTGCCTTCCTGGTTTTAGAAGTTCTAAACACATACCATGGGGGAGAACAGCAATGATAACCTAAGCAGTACAAATTCTTCTTTAAAGAAGTTGTATCCATATTGAATATCGGTGCAGTTCAAATAATTTCAGACATGTCTAATACTTTCTTAATGTATCCACGCTTCAAAAATAACTTTTAAAATTTTAAATGAATTTCAGATAATTTTCAACAACTCCTCAATACTTTCTACATTACCAAGGGTTGTAACCTAGTGATACTTTCTCACCTTCAAAAGTAAAAGCTCGAGGGTTCAAGTCCCCATAGGGCCAATGTTTGTGTGTGACTTTCTTGCCAGGATAATATATATATGTGTGTGTGTGTGTGTGTGTGTGTATGTACTTTCTACATTTATTGAACAATGAAATGTGACATTTCCAATATAATAATAGAGCATAATTTCATTAGGTAAAGCGTGATTAGGGTTTCAAAACACATGGAGAATCTTAAAAAGAAGAGTAATTGAGCAATAGAAGAGAAATCTTTGTGGAATTTAGTCGCATATCCATCGCTATTCAATGTAATTGCTAGTTCTCTTATTTTTTGACATTAGAAGTTCAAAACTTTGAAAATCAACTCAACTCGTAAAAGATGACTTTTTCTAATAATATTTTTATATATTATGAAAAAAAGAAAAAAAAAATTAAAATGATGCTAATACATATGCCATGTCCTCGTCATATCTGTATTATTATTATTCTTTTTTTTTTAAGATTTGTATTATCAGGCCATCAGCAATATCCTTTCATACCCGTATCCCTATCCAGCTTCATAGATGACAACAAATTAAGCAGCATAGACTGAATGTAATTTGGTGCCCCATCCTTCCCTAAAAGCATATTATCTAGACACCAAATTTTTGATGGAACACTTTGCAAGAAACTAAAATATGAAACATGAAAGAATCAAAAGGTTCTGACAATGAGATCTCATTAGACCACCCCATACCAAGCAAAACCTCCAATGTAGTATCTTAATGGGCTAAACAAGCTTTGTACAGCCTTCGATTGTGAATCTCAGAGCAGCACTATCTTATTCGTTCAGTTGCTAACTATTTGACGATAAAATATCCATATGGGTACTCTTTTAGTTTTTTATTTTCTCAGCACTCCTCTTAGGTCGTTGTTTCAAGTTTCACCGAAGGTGAGGCCTGAGTTTAAATGATTCAAGCAACTGCTACTGCGCACATCTAGAGTTTGCAAACCAACTGAGAGTCCAAAGTGGCTAGCAGGTGGGCTGATTCTTCGTTAACAAAACAAAAAAATATCCATGTCTATTTTAATTGTGTGATGAAAAAAATCATTACTATTCACAATTGAAAAGCAGCAAATAGTCATAGAATCGAGTTTTGAAGCAAATAGCATGCCATGGCTACTCCATTAGTGAAGAAAAATTAAAAATGATCTAGTTCTTTAGCAGGAGTTTGTATCTGGCATATAGTTTTCAAAATTACAAACCATTTTTGTCTTACTTTTCCTATTTACCATGAGGAAAGGGACTGAGTTCAAATGACGCTGTCATGAAACCTTGAAAAGAAAACAATAATTTAGAGCCTTTTCCATTTTCCCTACAACTATTGAATAACATCAAGTGAACAATCCATGATCATAATTTTCACAAGGACAAACAGAATACCACTCTGCCAAGGAAGGCCAACAAATCATGAAAGGAAACAAAGCATAGAGTAGATGTAACAAGCACTTACTTTTTTAACATGAAATCCTATTGGGAAAGACTGACATACTATAAAGAGAACATGAATGTGTCACCATATTCCATTGCTACACCAAATTAGTACAGGAGACAACACTCTAAGGAGCATCAATAATAAATTTTCCCAAATATGAAATCATTTTATAACCATTTCAGGTTTATAAAACATGTGCGCAAGAAGTTTTTGTGACATAATTATGACCAAGTGCACAAACCATCCATTACTATAGTCTCTTCGAAGGATTTTAAACCATGTTCCTAAAAGTAACTGTTGAATGAGATCATTGTGCAAAACCAATTTCATACTATTCAAGGACAATCAACATTTCAATCAGTGATAGAAGATCACAAAGATAATACATGGTGAACTCTTACACCCTTGAAACTGTTATTTGATATAACTGACAAATTGCAAGAAGCAACATAATGCTTCTCTATTCTCTAAACACCAAACTTGAACCAAATGAATTTTTTAAATCAACATTTTAACATGAATTTTAGGATGAAAAGTCCCCATGTCAAGTTAAGGAATCGCTAAATCAGTTTATATAACGAGTTGTATAACATACTTATTAATGGCTAAGGTACAAGCCATCCCATCCTTCTTTTTTCCCTTGCAAACTCCATAATCCAAAGAAGTGCCGATCTTTAAAATTTGACCAGCAGAATAAGCACTTAAAGTAAATCCCGATCCCTGCAAATGAGATGATGAAAGTTAACAATCTCAAAATCATGATAAATCAAATTTTATCGGTTTATGAAAACTTAATACCGAAGTGTCCTTGCGAACACCACAGTTAAACAGTGCAAAGACTGTTCCAGCCTCTTCTTTACAGTTCTTCTGATAAGCATCTCCAAACAGAAAAACAGAAATAGTCTTTTCATCTAAACACCCGATTTTCCATATGCAAAATTTCTTCCCAGTAGAACTATTTTTCGGATTCCCCTTCTCTGTTAAAACTCCAACAGTAGCCCAACAACCAGAAAGAGTATCACCCACTAGCAGATTCCTGAACACCCAAAATTATGACATCAATAACACAAGACTATTTTTTTTTTGGTTGAATTACACAAGACTATTTTCTCAACTAAATTGATAACATTAGCAGTGTTAATTCTCCTACTTTATTGCAGGCACCCGGACAAAACGAATATCTGAAAAACGATTGCTCAATTCTGTCGAGGAGACCACTTGATTACTGAACAAGAAAAACAAATAGAATAAACAAAAAACAATATCAGGAAACCTCTGTAGCTGCAACAATATAAGAAAACAATGTTATGGATGCAAAAATTCTAGTTGTTCATAAACAGCTTAGTCTTGGCTCGCTAATGCAGAAATTCATTTAGATAAGAACATACATATCACTGTGTGTGTGAATACATTCACACATGTGAATATATGTACTGTTAGATTGTTCCCACACATTTTAAGCAAAAATGAAATTCTAAGCTCCATAATTTGCCCCAGTTGGAAAAGCAAAGTGCTAGATTGTTCTCACGCAATACAATTGCGAAAACTTATTCTTAGTCTACATTACCCATTTTCCCCAAAAGTTCTAGAGGCTAATTGTGATTAATGGAATCATAATGAACTGAGTATATTGTAAAAATGTATAACTTATTTCATTAGCAATGTAAATGAGTGCTATGTTCGTATGGATTTGACTGCACAAACATTAAGAGAAACACATGGGTGCTCTTCCAATTGGGATTGACCTAAACCTACCGAATTCGTAAACCCGAAAACTTCTCAACCCCGGCATCATGTGAGTTCTTCAGGATGTTGGATTTGGTATCTTTCTTGACATTTTGAGGCTCGTAATCGAGGCAATCTTCAACAGCATTTCGAAATACAGACATATCTGTATGTCCCGATCGCTTAGGCAATCCATCGTCAGAATGATACCCTATAATCAAAGGGAATTAAGAACTGAACAATAAACGAAAACCCATGAAGAATTCAAAGAAGCCCAGAGCCAAAATACCTGTTAATGTGTATATGTGTGTGTATAAATATAGAGAGAGAGAGTTACCTGGTGATTGGGAGTGGAAAGTTGAAGGAGAAGCAGGAGGGGTTTCCAAAACCCTATCTTGAAGAGAGAGAAGGAGATCCAGATCGTCTTCGTGATTCGTCATGGTGGGCATGCAAATGTTTATGTGATAAACCAGGGAGGAGGGTTCACTGTCCTTGTTATAATCCTAGTATTGTATATTACTGGTATAGAAATGGTTTCTTTTTGGAGGGAGATTTGAATTTTTGGAGGGACAGATGATGATGTTTTAGCATATGCCGGGAAGAAGCTCAGGGCTTCTTTTCAGCCCATCACCCAAGTAGTAACCCACTACTACATATTTTGGGGTAAATTAACTTAGATCCCCTCTAGTTAGGATTTATTACACTTATTTCTATCGTGTTTTGAAATTACAATTATTGCCGTCAATTTCACTAATAGTTAGGTATAGTTAATGTAATGACCCTATCATTTTTCTTTCTTTCTTTCATTTTTCTAAAATTTTACGGATAAATTGTTTTCGTTGAATTTTCTTTTCTGAGTTCGGTTACTCATCACTTAGTGTCGTCTCGAATGCTCGAAAATGGTTTCCGAGACTCTTTCATTTGGATTGACAATTTCCTTTAAGGATAGAGTTATTTTCACATTTTCATTTTTTGGCTACTATTTACTTTTCATCTTTTTCCCATTTGTCACTTTGTTGGCACAACCTCACTTTTCATGTTTAGAGTTGAGTTTTGACTCCACGAGTTTTCATTTCAGTTGATTTCCTTGAAACGCGTAGCTTTACTTTTGGAGAAAAGCTCGCCGGTTGTTCTTTTCTCCCACAGGGGTGTGGATGAAAGGATTCTTCAGGCACATTGATGTTTCTTGGGATGTTTTTCATAAATATCTTTTGGAGATATTTTAATTAGGGTTTTTAAAAAAATATCTTTTGGAAAATATTTTCATTCTCGGCAAATTTGCAGTTATCCCCTTTTTGTAGGGGTCATTATACAATTAACGAAAGTTATTACAAAATAACTCATTTTGGGCCTGGATTTTCCTACGGGATTCATTTCCACTTTTCGTCGAGTCGTGTACTCTTAGAATTTCCTCACGGTCGTTTTCACCAGCTTTAGGGTTTTCGGCACCAGTTGCCGCCGAACTTGTTCGAGGTATATCTTTCTGCACGGAACTCGGTTTTCGACGCCGTTTCTTTCGTTATTCATTTTTTTTTCATTTCGGTTCGTTCACGGTGTTTTACCGTTTAACCGCGTCTGCACAAATTCCATTTTCTGGACCCGGCGGGGCCCTTTTGGGGCACTTTTAGGGTTTTACTATAAATAGGGAGTTATAAAATTAAAAACATTTCATCCTCTTCTTCTCACACTGCTGCAGATCAACCATGGTAGCCCAAAGGAGCTGCCTCCCTTTTTTTCTCAAATTAACCTTCTTCCTCTTTGTAAAATGTCGTAGTACCTTAGTGTTTATTGTAGGCCTTGGCGAGACACTCCTTTTCCCCTTATTAGAAGCAAATTCTGACCATTTTTGAATTTGGGTTTTGAGTTCGGATTTGGATTTTCATGGTGCCTCAAGGGTTAAAGTTGCTTCCCTCGTAGTCCCCGACATAACCTAGAAGTATTATCGGATTCAGAGCGATTTCCTTCCGATGGAGATTTGAGATTTCATCTCAAAGTGAGGTAGGGGATGTCTTAGGTTTACATAATTATTGTATTGATTGTTTTATAAGCTTATACAACTTGTATGCATGCCAAGGTATTTTATCTAAAATTTAATTTAATTATTTTCTTTGTATAAGATTTAATTCTCATGGTTGTATATAGCTTGGAATTAAATTGCGGCATGCTATTAAATTAAGCCTTGATATGTTTATTAACATATATTAAATTGGGAGGATTTGAATGTGACAACCCTGGATTTTACAACACAGTGTGTCCTATGATGACCTGAAATGGATCTAAAAAAAATGCTGAAGCAAAACAAAAACAAGTCCTTAGAGATGTAAGACATCCCTAAGACACAAGAATGGCCTTTTGAGGGGTTTCAAGACTCAACGGAAGCAAAATGAAGACAAGAGTATTAAAACCCTGCAAGAGAATGATTAGGGGTAAAATGGTCATTTTACCCGTGGAGTGAATTTAACTTACAACAAGTCAAATGAGATCAAAAATACCCAAAACATCCTTTGGTAACTTCACATGAAGTCACAAGGCCAAAAGAAAAGAAATCCCAAAATAACCATATCCCGGTTCGAACCAAATCTGACACCCTCTCACTAAAACAAGGATATCTCGAGGTAGGAGAAGAATCTAAAACTGAAATTTATATCATTGGGCTTACTTCGACGCGGTCCGTTTAAACTTAAGAACGGACTAATTCAGAGTTGAAATGAAGAAATTATGACAGTTTGAAGTTAGAAGACCAAAGCTGAACCTGCAAAAAGGTTCTGGAAGACTTGAACCGGTTCAGCATTTCCTGAACCGGTTCAACATGGACAGAATGTCCACGTTAGACCCAAAATACACCTTGAACCGGTTCAACCCAACCAGAATTGAACCAAACAGCAGAAAAATCAAAAAAAATAGTTTGACGCGGGTTTTTGAGACCAAGATAACATTTTCTAGACAAATGCCGTGAGGAAACTCCCCCTAAAATCACATTTTCTATGTGACGAAGTCAAGACCGGAATTTATTTCCCAAAGGAAAACCCCAAAATACCCTTAAATCGGATTATGCAAGAAAAATGTGAAATGAGTCTATAGGAGGCTCATTTCACCAATGAAAGAGTTTTTCCTGAACAGGATCATGCACGTAGATGTAACTTACCTATTGGAACATGCTACAATAATCCACGGTTTAAAAATACCGCCGTTGCAAAATATGACCTACCTAAACCCCAATGCGGGAAATTTGCCCTTCCAAGGCAAAAAATGCAACAACTGGACTTAAATGGAATCAAATGACTGTTTGGCCCTTGACCACACTTCTTGCATATTAAATGAGTCCTAGTGGATGTGCCGGAACACACTATATGCCACCCGATTTGAAAATGAACCTTTAAAGGCTCGGATTTTATTATTTTAGCCCAAAAATGCAATATATGAAATTAAAATGCAAAAGTGAAAACGAAATGGTGTTTGGCTCGTGGCCACACCTCATATATGGTAAATAAATGCTAAATGATGAATTTCATACACAATGCACACTCTGGTGCAAAAATGATATATTAAACCCTAATTTTTCATACTTTTCTCATTAAAGACAAAATTCAGCATTTTGGGATATACAAGGATTTCATATGAAGTTTGACCCTTGGCCACATACCATATACATATAATGAGTGTCAAAAAGTGTGCTTAAGCACATAATACAAGTCCAAGGCAAAAATGACATTTTTGTTCTAACTATGCATTACAACCTCAAAAGTAAAACTTAAACATGCTAACACTTGCATGTGAACAAGAATGCATTTAAATGAACTTCAACCAAACGAAATGATCTAGGGATATTGTGCATCCCAAACCAAGGCATTTGTACCTAAAAAATCACCCGATAACTTTGAGGTGAGTAAACAAGTTACTCGTAGGGAATGAGCATGCATAGACTTAACTTTTTACAAGGTTATTACATTAACATGAAACAATTCAAAAGAATCATACCACCTAACTTCTATGTTATAAGTGAGACTTAGGAATCATCTTAAGCTACTTTAAAGCATTCCAAGCATAAACTACAATATTTATGCAATTAAACAATATAGAAGCATATTATACAACGCAACAAGATACAGATCATCAAAATCATTAACTTGAAATCTGAAATGCGAAATCAACTAAATGGTTCATGCCACCTAGCGTCTATGTTCCAAATGACTCAAGGAATCGTCATAGGCTACATTAGAACAATAAAACACAAATCACAATATCGATGCAATTTAACCAACATTGGAACTTCCAATAGAATGCATAAAGCATGAATTCCCAAAGTTAACATCTTGAAACTTAAAATAGGAAATCAAATAAGGAACAACAAGTTACAACATCATCTAGTTATCAACTTGAAATGAAATGCGAAATCAAACAAGGTGGATACTTGGACATCACACCGGATCAGACCGGTAACATGGTTACTTTAGGGTTACTAGCTCACGGGTAACCTCCCTATGTGCGCACTAAACTATAGGGGGACAATCCCCTGTACTAGAACCATGCCCTAGCCGAAATCAACAACAACGCCCCAAGGTTCCAAAATCAACAAATTGTGCAACAACGTATATATCACATGTATATACAAGACAATTAACTATCTACCACGCACAACCAAATTTGGAAACGCATACAATACATACTCTAAGTTCACAACTACTATAGCATGAAAGATGTCAAATACAAAGTGTGCAACTCATTACACAAGACAACAATATATTCTATAAAGAAAACACGTTCTTATTAATATATATATAACAATAATGTTATCCAATACTCAAAACGTAACTAAGTGAATATACAATAAGTCCAAGTCCATGATTTAAATATAGAAACAACTTCTAAAACACAATTAAATCCATGGAGCAATTAGATATAATTTAATTAAATAAAAATAATTAAATTCTCTATATTTCAACAATTCCAAATAACCTCAAATTAATATATGTTAAACAACATAGCATGGTCATTACATCTATGAAATCAAAAGTGCAAAATGAGCAAGATATCATCATGTAGAACTTAATTAATTTAAATTAATTAAATCTCTATATTTCAAAAGTTATTTAAATGATCCCAAATTAATATATAACAAGGACTAAATCATGGCCATGCCATATATCAAGTCTAAAAGGGACAATTAAGTGGAATTTAAATCAAATTAAATTCATTAAATCTCTATATTTGAAAACTCATTTAAATCATTCCAAATTAATATATAAGAAAGATCAAGTCATGGCTATGCCATATACCAAGTCTAAAGTGAGTTATATGCAAGCTACAATTAATTATTAATTTTTCAAATTAACACAAAACATGCATACAACTTATACATCACTACAAAAGCAATTAATTCACTTAGATAATAAACTAGAACACTCCCTACCTCACTAGAGAAGTGTCTCTCTAGAATCCAAGGTAAATCAACACAAAATGGCAAACCCTTCAAGAGTTATATAGAGGAAGGTGAGATAAAACTTTTGTAATCCAAGCTTTATGGTCTAAGGTGAGTGGAAGGGTCTCAAAAATCAATGTCAAAGCCTAAGCATCAAGTTTCACTAATGGTGGCTACGTTTTGTGGAGAGGAAGAT